GGCGCCGGGAAAGCTGTTTGCCGGCGCCAGGGAAAGGTCACATTCATTCAGTATCGAAGAAAGATGTGTAGGTTTTCCCGGCGCCGGGGGCAGCTGTGTCCCGGCGCCGGGAAAGTTGTTTCCCGGCGCCGAAGAAAGGTTAGCCGGGCAAACAGCCATGCTGCTTCTCGGAGACGGCGCACGCGCTTGAACAAAAAAACGCATCAGTTTTTGGAACCAGTGATAATGAACATGACATGTCCTCTCTGCTGTTGGGGATACTTGCTGGGATTATTAAATCTGCCCTATTGTTACAATATCATCCTCACCTGCCATCAGAAGAATTTTCCTGTGTTATCATCCGTGGTCCAGCTAGTTCATGTTTAGCATTCATAGCAGTTGCTCAGCGGTCCACGTGTGTGGAGTTGCATGTTCCCCACTTTATGTTCTGTGTCCACCTTTGTCATGATTAATCATTGATTTTCTTGCATCTGCTGGGGTTGATACTCGGCGATGTTCACACCATGTTGGGCACATCAGGATGCCAGAGCCAAGGGGGCACAACCAGAGTCAACTCAAGTTGGACCCCCGAGGAAGATGCAGAAGCTGCCCGGGTTGAAACTTGCATTAGCCCTGGTGATTTTTCCTCCCTGACCTTTGTGCCTCTGTGATGAAGTCAGCTGAGGTCAGCCGCGACTCCGCGAGAAATATTTGTCCTGCATCAAAAAAGCCCAGGCTTATCGCATATGGGTGGGAAATTAGCGAAAAAAAGAGTTGAATCCGATACACGCCCGCGAGATATGTCTTGACAGGGAGAGAAGATCAAGTTGGCCGACTTGAAGCCGGATCTGAGTGATGAGGCACAGCCAGTCAGGACTGCTGCTCTTGAGCAGCATGTACATTCTCCATTGTCAGATGGCCAAGTTCCGCTTGCCATTCAGCGCGGTGGAGGAAACAGCCATGGAGGCATTGTGTTGAAGGTAGATTTGGTCCTTGGATTTTGGGGCATCTGTCAAAAGACAGGTCTACAAATCTTGTCTGGAAAAAGTCAGCGGCCGTGTGCTGAAGTCCACTGAGAAGGAGGAGCTAGATGCTGTTCGAGGCAGTGGTTGTTGCGATCAAGCTGACTCGCGTGCATTCAACTGAATGTCTCGGAGCAAGCGTTCACATATGTTCATGTCTGCTCTGGTCCGGGCCCGCAGACTTCCTCGAGCTGGAGATGAGCACCGTGCGAAAGCTACACCTGAAGGCGTATGGGGTGGAGTCAACACCGTCAGTGCAGTGCTTTCCGCTGATTGGTTTTGATTGGTCCGTCTGTCCAGCTCGAGTGCTTTTCAAAAGGCATTGAGCGCACGGAAGGCTTGAAGTTGAACGTGTTCCATGGTATGCTGGTTTGCACTGCCTGCTTCGCATTGCCCTGCCAAACAGGACGTTTTCGAATTCATCCTTCCCTCATGGCTGTTCTAGCTATGCAAGCTCAAGTTCACCCATACTTTGAGTGACCCCGCTCTGAAAGTGCTGCAGGCCTTTGCATCTACTTACGAGGAAAGTGTGCGAGAAGCCCTTGGACGATCAGGTGCAAGATGAATGCTGTGTAAAGCAGTGTAGCTTCAGGCTGTAGTCACCTCCTTATCCACGTTACGTGTTCGCACGGATGCACTCTGCAGTGATATGTAGTGCCAAGCCTGCATCCTTTGCCTGCCTGTTTTTCATTCAGCCTGCATGCCAAACGCTCTGAGACCTAGGTTTGCCGTGCTCTGCAGAGTTTTGTCGGAAGCGTCCGTGATCGGGCACCTTGCTTTTCTCAAGCAGCCTACAGGGCATTTTTGGTAGACGCGAACCCCAAGCGAGCATGTGGAGAACAGGCTTTGTGACCGTTTTTGCTCTCGCGGCCTTAGCGGCTGCCAA